GTGAAACTATTCCACATTGTTTTAAATGAAATCCAAACTCGTAACTCAAATATTCTCCTCCATGATCATATCGTAGAAACTTTTATTTTCTTGTTACGATGATTCTCCACTTCACTCTGAAATTCTTTGAACTTTTCAAATGTTTCAGACTTGTGTTTCATTAAGAAGATATACCCATATCTGCTTAAATCACCTGTGAAGGTCAGAAAATAACAATACATGCCATGAGCATCAACACTCATTGGACAGCATACATCGATATGTATTATTTCCAATAAGTCACTATCTCATTCTATTGTTCTGGAGAACGGAGTTTTAGTCATCTTGCCCATAAGGCACGGTTCAAATGATTCATAATCAAGTGATTCTAAAATTCCATCTTTATGGAGTTTCTTCATGCACTTTACACCGATATGACCCAAACAGCAATGCCACGAATAAGTTGCACTATCATTATCACCTTTGCATCTTTTGGCATCAATATTATGAATATATGTATTACCACGATCGAGATTCAATAAACCATAAACATTGGGTGTATGACCATAGAAGGTTTTATTCAGGTAAATAGAATAACGATTATTCTCTGTCTTAAATGAATAACTGTATTGCAATAAACATGATCTTATCATATTCATTCTCAACGCAAACACCAAATAACTTTAGGTTCAACACTAATCTCAAAAGTATAGGGAGTGTGCGATGATGATCATATCAATCTTGGAACTACTTCCAACATACATCGTCACTTCATTCTTAACTAGTCTCTATTTATTCTGTAACTCCAGTTTCGAGTTACTAATCTTCGAACCCGAACAAGTATCGAATACCCAAGGGATACTATGAACACTAGCAAGGTACACATCAATAACATGTATATCAAATATACCTTTGTTCACTTTGCCATCCCTCTTTTCCACCAAATATTTGGGGTAGTTCCGCTTCCAGTGACCATTTCCTTTGCAGTAGAAGCACTCAATTTCAGGCTTAGGTCTAGCTTTGGGCTTCTTCACGGGAGTGACAACTTGCTTGCCATTCTATTTGAAGTTCCCTTTCTTTTTCTTTGCCCTTTTCTTGAAACTAGTGGTCTTGTCAATCAACACTTGATACTTTTTCTTGATTTCTACCTTCGTTGATTTCAGCATCGCGAAGAGCTCAGGAATCATTTTCGTCATCCCTTGCATACTATAGTTCATCACGAAGTTCCAGTAACTTGGTGATGGTGACTAGAGAACTCTCTCAGTCACTATCTTATCTGGAAGATTAACTCCCACTTAATTCAAGTGATTGTAGTACCCAGACATTCTGAGTACATGCTCACTAGCTGAGCAATTCTCCTCCATCTTTTAGGCGAAGTATTTGCCTGAGGTCTCATACCTCTCGGCACGGGCATGAGTCTGAAATACCAATTTCAGCTCTTGGAACATCTCATATGCTCTGAAGTCCTGGTACTAAGCCGTAAAGCATGGTGCACTAAACTATCAAGTAGTCATCATATTGATCTAGCCAAACGTTCATAACGTCTGCATCTGCTCCTGCAATAGGTCTGTCATCTAGCGGTGCATCAAGGACATAATTCTTCAGTGCAACAATGAGGATAAACCTCAGATTATGGACCCAGTCTGCATCATTGCTACTATGATATTTCAACTTAGTTTTCTCTAGGAACATATATAAACATAGGGAAGCTACAACGCGAGCTATTGATCTACAACATAATTTGCAAAATACTATCAGGACTAAGTTCATGATAAATTAAAGTTCAATTAATCATATTACTTAAGAACTCCCACTTAGATAGACATCCCTCTAGTCATCTAAATGATCACATGATCCATATCAACTAAACCATGTCCATCATCACGCGAGATGGAGTAGTTTTCAATGGTGACCATCTCTATGTTGATCATATCTACTATATGATTCACGCTCTCCTTACGGGCTCCAGTGTTCCGAGGCCATATCTGCATATGCTAGGCTCGTCAAGTTTAACCCGAGTATTCTGCGTGTGCAAAACTGGCTTGCACCCATTGTATGTGAACGTAGAGCCTATCACACCCGATCATCAGGTGGTGTCTCACCACGAAGAACTGTCGCAACGGTGCATACTCAGGGAGAACACTTATACCTTGAAATTTAGTAAGGGATCATCTTATAATGCTACCACCAAACTAAGCAAAATAAGAAGCATATAAGATAAACATCGCATGCAAACAAAATATGTGACATGATATAGCCATCATCATCGTGTGCCTTTGATCTCCATCTCCAAAGTATCTTCATGATCTCCATCGTCACTGGCATGACACCATGATCTCCGTCATCTTGATCTCTATCAATGTGTCGTCACATGGTCGTCTTGCCAACTATTGCTTTTGCAACTATTGCTATCGCATAGCGATAAAGTAAAGCAATTACATGACGCTTGCATCTTATGCAATAAAGAGACAACCATAAGGCTTCTGCCAGTTGCCGATAACTTTAACAAAACATGATCATCTGATACAACAAATTATATCACGTCATGTCTTGACCATATCACATCTCAACATGCCCTGCAAAAACAAGTTAGACGTCCTCTACTTTGTTGTTGCAAGTTTTACGTGGCTGCTACGGGCTTCTAGCAAGAATCGTTCTTACCTACACATCAAAACCACCACGATTTTTCGTCAAGTGTGTTGTTTTAATCTTCAACAAGGATCGGTCGTAGTCAAACTCGATTCAACTAAAGTTGGAGAAATAGACACCCGCCAACCACCTATGTGCATAAGCACGTCGGTAGAACCAGTCTCATGAACGCGGTCATGTAATGTCGGTCCGGGCCGCTTCATTCAACAATACCGCTGAATCAAAGTAAGACATTGGTGGTAAGCAATATGACTATTATCGCCCACAACTCTTTGTGTTCTACTCGTGCATATAACATCTACGCATAGACCTGGCTCGGATGCCACTGTTGGGGAACGCGGTAGTTTCAAAAAAAATTCCTATGATTACGCAAGATCTATCTAGGTGGTGCAAGGCATGAGAGGGGAGAGTGTATCCACATACCCTCGTACACCGAAAGTGGAAGTGTTTAGTTAACACGGTTGATGTAGTCGAACGTGTTTGCGATCCAACCGATCCAAGCACCGAACGTACGACACCTCCGCGTTCAGCACACGTTCAGCTCGATGATGTCCCTTGTACTCTTGATCCAGTTGAGGCCGAGAGAGAGTTTCGTCAGCACGACAGCGTGGCGACAGTGATGATGAAGTTACCGGCGCAGGGCTTCGCCTAAGCACTACGACGATATGACTCAGGTGTGTAACTGTGGAGGGGGGCACCGCACATGGCTAAAAGATCAACTTGTGTGTTCTAGGGCGCCCCTGCCCCCGTATGTAAAGGAGAAAGGGGAGGCCGGCCGGCCCTCCTAGGCGCTCCCCCAAGAGGGAAATCCTACTAGGACTCCAAGTCGAGTCCTAGTAGGTTTCCACCAAGAGGGAGAGAGGGGGAAGGAAGGAGAGGGAGAGGGAGCAGAAAGGGGGGGGTGCCGCCCCTCCTCGCAGTCCAATTCGAACCCAAGGGGGAGGGGGCACGCGGCCTGCCCTGGCCGCCCCTCTCTCTCTCTCCACAAAGGCCCATCGAGGCCCATTAGTTCCCACGATGGTTCCGATAACCCTCTGGCACTCCGGTTTTATCCGAAACTTCTTCGGAACACTTACGGTGTCCGAATATAGCCGTCCAATATATCAATCTTTATGTCTCGACCATTGCAGGACTCCATGTCATGTCCGTGATCTCATCCGGGACTCCGAACAAACTTCGGTCATCAAAACACATAACTCATAATACTAATCGTCATCGAACGTTAAGCGTGCGGACCCTATGGGTTCGAGAACTATGTAGACATGACCGAGACACATCTCCGGTCAATAACAAATAGTGGAACCTGGATGCTCATATTGGGTCCTACATATTCTACGAAGATCTTTATTGGTCAAAACACATAACAACATACGTTGTTCCCTTTGTCATCGGTATGTTACTTGCCCGAGATTCGATCGTCGATATCATCATACCTAGTTCAATCTCGTTACCGACAAATCTCTTTACTCGTTTCGTAATGCTTCATCCCGCAACTAACTCATTAGTCACATTGCTTGCAAGGCTTATTGTGATGAGCATTACCGAGAGGGCTCGGAGATACCTCTCCGAAACACGGAGTGACAAATCCTAATCTCGATCTATGCCAACCCAACAAACACCTTTGGAGACACCCGTAGAGCATCTTTATAATCACACATTTACCGTGTGACGTTTGATAGCACACAAAGTGTTCCTCCGATATTCGGGAGTTTCATAATCTCATAGTCTAAGGAACATGTATAAGTTATGAAGAAAGCAGTAGCAATGAAACTGTAACGATCAAAATGCTAAGCTAACGGATGGGTCATGTCCATCACATCATTATCCTAATGATGTGATCCCGTTCAGATGACAACACATGTCTATGATTAGGAAACATAACCATATTTGATTGACGAGCTTGTCAAGTAAGGCATAATAGGGACAGTATGATTTGTCTATGTATTCACACATGTACTAATTTTCCGGTTAATACAATTTAACATGAATAATAAACATTTATCATAAAATAAGGAAATAAATAATAATTTTATTATTGCCTCTAGGGCATATTTCCTTTACGGGGATGGCGGCGCCATCTCCTTGCCGTGCTGGAATCAGTGAGACGGGGATGCCAGCTGGACGAACGCCCGGTCTGGCAGCGTGGCATGACTGTCGGCTCCTCCTTGTTGCGTGGCGAGGATGGCGGCTCCTCCTTGACGCACCGTCCCATCCGGACACCGTTGTTGGCCCCCGGCAGTCATCATTTAGAATTCAACAAGTCTTAGTCTTAGTTAACTGGTTTAACAAGTACAGTGCAAACGACACGTTGAGGGCATGAAAGCATATGTAGAGCCAGATCGGCTGGAAACGGCGACACCACAGAGGAGGCCATGGCCAGTGCTTCTAGCCCGCCGCTAGTAGCACTCGGCGTGCTCCTCCTCTTGTCCGTTAGTTCGGCCATTGCGCATGGCAGAGGAGCAGATCAGGAACGCCGCCAGCGCTACATGGTGGTGCAAACTAGCCACCTGATGGAGTCAAAATCCATCTGCTCTGGCTTCAAGGGTACGTACATAGGTAGACGAGATGATGAAGATGTGTGCGAGAACCATAGCCGTGATGCATGCTCTCTTTTCTTCTTTTTTTGCAGTGACTCCATCCGCGAATGGCACGTGGGTGCCGCTGCACCGGCCGTACGGCCCGTGCTCGCCGTCGGAGGGCACGCCGCCGCCCCTGGTCGAGATGCTCCGCTGGGATCAAGCCCGCACGGACTACGTCCGAAGGAAGGCCACCGGCGAGGTGGACGACGTGCTCGACCCAGCCAGGCCGCACGTGGACATGATGCAGGTGGACTTCATGCTCCGAGGGACCTTCGGCATCGGCTCTGGCTCTGGCTACGGCGCGGCGATCGACGGCGACGACGACGACGACCCAATGATCCTGGCACAGACCATGGCCATCGACACCACCGAGGACGTCCCGTGGATCCAGTGCCTCCCTTGCCTCATCCCCCAGTGCTACCCGCAGCGGAACGCCTTCTTCGATCCCCGCAGGTCAGCAAAGCACCACTGGCTTTATTTTGTATGTACTGTCTTCTTGATGGAGTAATGAAATATCCAATTGTACAAAAATTACAGGTCGAGCACCGGCGCGCCCGTCCGCTGCGGCTCCCGCGCCTGCCGATCTCTCGGCAACTATGCCAATGGCTGCTCCAAGGCCAACTCGACGGGAGATTGCCTGTACCGGATCGAGTACAGCGATAACCGGCTTACGCTCGGGACGTACATGACCGACACGCTGACCATCAGCCCCAGCACCACCTTCCTCAACTTCCGGTTCGGGTGCAGCCACGCCGTGCGCGGCAAGTTCAGCGCCCAGGCCTCCGGGACCATGTCGCTCGGCGGCGGGCCGCAGTCCCTCCTCTCGCAGACGGCCCGCGCCTACGGCAACGCCTTCTCCTACTGCGTCCCGGGGCCCAGCGCCGCCGGCTTCCTCTCCATCGGCGGGCCGGTCGAAGGCGACGGCGGCGGCGGCTCGGGCACATTCGCGACCACGCCGCTGGTCAGGAACGCAAACGTCATCAACCCGACCATCTACGTGGTGCGGCTCCAGGGCATCGAGGTCGCCGGCCGGCGGCTCAACGTGCCGCCGGTGGTCTTCTCCGGCGGGACGGTCATGGACTCGAGCGCCATCATTACGCGGCTGCCCCCCACAGCGTACCGCGCGCTGCGGCTGGCGTTCAGGAACGCCATGAGGGCGTACAGGACGCGCGCCCCGACGGGGAACCTCGACACCTGCTTCGACTTCGTGGGGGTCACCAGCGTGACGGTGCCCGCGGTCTCCCTGGTGTTCGACGGCGGCGCCGTCATCGAACTTGACCTTCTGGCCGTGCTGCTGGACGGATGCCTCGCCTTCGCGCCCGTCGCCGCTGATTTCGCCCTCGGCTTCATCGGCAACGTGCAGCAGCAGACGCACGAGGTGCTCTATGACGTCGCCGGAGGGGCTGTGGGCTTCCGCCGTGGTGCGTGCTAGCTGGCCCTGAGCTAGCGCGCGGCGGCCGGCGCACGTTCGATCCTTTTTTTTTTTTTGAAACAACGTGCTCGATCCTCTTTCTTTAAATGTCACTGGCTTTGCACTGTCACTGGCTAGCTATGTAATCCTAATTAAAATCTTAATAGAACTCTTAGATAAACTCTCTAGTAGAGAGTCGTCGTTTGGCACCCGTATCTGTCTAGCCAAACCGCAAACACATTATATCGTCATAATGTGAACTTCATATGTTGCTCTGCAAGTAGTACACACCTGTTATCGAGTCTCACGTTCTCAATAAACTCGGACGAATACAGTGAGGGCCTTTTTGATGCGCAGGATTTTGAAAGCGTAGAAATAGAAAAGTATAGGATTGGAGTGGCACTCACTTGAATCATATAGAATTATCCTGAAGTGTTTGATGCCACGGGAAAAACAAAAAAATTATGAAAAAAGATTGAAGTGGATGTTAAATTTCTATGAAATGTAGTACAAAAGGTTTCATAGAAAAATTCCTACGGGATCTAATCCTATGAATCAAAGGATCGGCATAGGAAAAAAATCCTAAGGATTGCAATCCTCTAGAAATCCAATATAATTCCTTTGAATCAAAGGAGCTCGTTTAGAAACAACAACTTCATTCATAAATGGGTGCGAAAATTAGTCATAATGCGACTTACATTTATATAACACCTAATAATTATTTAATCTATAATAAATAGTTAGACTCGCTGCCATATGGCAACGGCCACGCCCACCTCCTAGTTGGGGCCACCGCCACAACTACCTCCACCACCGCTGCCACCTCCACCCCCACCATCACGGCGGCGTAGAATACGGCGATGTTGGCCCGGATGGCTTGAAAATGCGCCTCAACGTTGTTGTCCCATACCAGCCATTCGTCCGCGATGGCGCGATCGCGGCGGCCCAAACATGTTGCTCCATATGCACGTCCATCTACGCAGCCTCCTCGAGGGCAACGTTCATGTGCTCGGAAAAGGGGTCCAGATGATCCCTGGGCATCCACGGGCTGCTCCTCCACCTGACTCCAAAATGGAATACTATGGAGGATTCATCAGGTGCGTCATGGACGAAGACTAGGTCGTGCATTGAAGGCGGGCGAGATTGGATTAGGAGGCGCCGGAGATAGGATTGAAGCGAGAGAGCGAAAATCACCGTGTTGTATAGGCAGCTATGTGTGCCATTAAAGAGGTAGTTGGGGAGGCAGTAGATGATTGACGGCTGACGATCAAGGGACGTGTCTCCCAGTGAGAAACGCTATGGTGGCCTGCTCGCAAGCCTCTTGCCTGCTTTCACACCTCCCAACCTGCTCACACGCAATCTAGGAGATGATGCCGCGTGACGGTCATCCAACGAGGCACCATGGGAATTCCAGGGGCGCGGGCGTGGCATTAGTAGTTGCGTGGCCATCGTCCGTAGTGAGTGGGAGGTCAGGGTACTTCAAACTAGGCTATAACGCGAGTAGTATGAAGCTCAAACTTCCCTCAAAGCAGACCTCACATGTAAGGGTCTAGTTGGACCGTGGATACCGCATGGCAGTATCAAAACTGGCTATGTGTGTATTAGGCTCTATGATTTCTTTTCTCGGTTAGTTTATGAACGGTCCTTTTAGTTTGGTCGTTCTTCTATTAAAATAATTTATTTCAAAAAAGTAGGATTGCGAGCAAACGTGCGGGTCCATAGCGCATGAAATTGCCATCAAAAATATTTGATTAGTCATGGGCAAATTCAAAACGTTTGAGATTTATCATTTCGGTTAATTAATTGGTTTCAAAGGAAAATGATGAAACTTGTATCCGGCGGTACGATAAATTGTCACAAACCAACTTGTCTAATTTTTCATTTACCATTCTATTTTTTTTGGTTTAGTGAACATAGGTCGCCTGAATTTGAAAATTGAGCCAGTCGATTGTTTTGAGAAGGAAGCATCGGCCACGCGATTAGGATGCGGGGTGAGGGAGGGTGCTGGTTCACCGGAAAAATCGGCTGGCTCGCCGGTCTGGAGGGATGGCCGAAGGCTGCGGCAAGCCCGATGATGGGGGGCAATGGGAGGGCGGCCGGCAAAGCTGGCGCGGGAGCGTCGCCTGTCGCGAGCGTCAGAGGCTGATAATTCAGCCGGTGGCTCGTGGACGGTTTGGCGAAGAAGAAAGGGAAGGCAAAAGGTTAGAAGAGGTCATCTGGCCGTTGATTTTGCATCGGACAGCTGAAAACGAATTGATAGACCCGAAATCAGTTTTCAGTCGACTGAACAGGGTTCAGCGAGCCGAGCAACTGATAATAGACGAGTGCTATGACGTAGACGAGATCGAGACGCGTGACGTCAAGCACTGCATGCGGGTAGCTAGAGCCTCTTTACAATGGCACATGCACGGCCACCGTAGGAACACACTGCATCTGCACAATGGCACATGCACAGTCACAGAGTTTTTTGAGTGTTTTTCTCTTCCTTCATTTTCGACGACATGTCGTGTTGCTGCGGCACAAGTCCACTTGTACCGTTGTATGTGTAAGTCGGACGTCCGGTCCCTCAGCAGATAAATGCACTTGCTATGTGACGATGGTAGGCCGCACGCCAGGACTGAAGCGCCGCGCGCGCTGCTGATCACTGTCTCACTGAGCCTCCCAGTAATGGCGGTGCAGCAGTGGTAGTACCCACGGCCCCTACCTATGGGCTATGGCTGTCGGCTCTGGCCTCTGAGCCACCTACGGTTCCATGTCCGTCGTCTACCCGAGTCTTCTACAGTGAAAGGATAAGGGGTAGTAGCTGTAAGCATCAATTGCTCTCTGTTGTCCTCTTCCTGTGCCTGTGGGCTCTGGCCTGAGTCATCACTCGCCTACGGTTGCACTTCCATGCGATCTACTGATCTACCCTGCAATCAAGGTTTTAAATAGCGGATAGGGGGCTGATAGCGAATTGAGGTCGGGATAGCGGGTGATATTGCGGGCGCTATGTCCGTATAGCGGATTTGTAAAAGCACTTGCAAATTTGAGATTGTTATGTATATTTCCAAACTGTTGACAAACAATAAGACTATTGAATAGAATAATTGTCTTTTATATAAGCATGTAGACTGAAAATTGGTCCATCTGGACAATATTCAAGCATGTAACCATGCAAACAAATACTATTATTAAACACATAGACTATACAAGTCTGGTCCATCTAGACTAATTTAGCCATGTAACCATGCAAACAAAAACTATACTGTATGACCAAGAATAATGCAACCAGCCAACCATAGAAATAATAAACTATTTGTATCATTGTCAGTTTGCACACACACACAATAGATTATACATAACACGAGAAAATAATCCAATAAAACAGCAAACACAAACAGATTTGTTTCATGGGCATTCTGCTTCATCATTAATAAATAAGTGCAGACTTCAAAAGTACAACCAAGAGCTAGCAATATCAAGTGATTTATCGTTCTTTTTTCTCATTCTCAGCTATCAATGCAAGCATCTTCTCTTTAACATGATCAGGAACCTGTGTGCAAGATACACAATCCTTTTTTATTCCAAGCATGTGCTTCTTAAGTCTGGTAATGCCACCATTGAAAAAGTTCAAGCAGTATTTGCATCCAACTCTGTTCTTTGGTTCTGAACTCATCAGTAATTGGTAAAGCATGCTCCCAGGCTGGATCTTTTCTTGTTCTTCCAGTTGCGGCAGCGGAGGAAGCCCCTGATCCTACTGAAGACATTGTGCTAGTAGCCTACTACTGTAAAAAAAAGAAATAAACATAATCTATTTGCAAAAACAAATAAGTAAACAACATTTATCAGTATAACAAAAGGAAAAGACTGTACTGTGCAAGTTTATCAATAAAAACTGAATATATAGAACAACATTTATCAATATAACAAAAGGAAAAGACTATACTGTGCAAGTTTATCAGTAAAAACTGAATATATACAACAAAATTTAACAGTACAAACTGAAGGCAAAGCCTGCAAGTTTATCAGTATAAACTGAATTCATAAACAACGTTTAACAGTACAGACAAAATGTACAGAGTATGTACCGAGTACTGTCTATCAGACGAATTTATCAGTATAAACTAAACTTTGTTCAGTGATGCATCTGCTGCTTGTTCTAGCTGAGGAGAACCACGGTGAGAAGTGAGCTCTGTACAAATAAAAAGCAGAGATTATGTACTGACGTACTGATCTAGGATCTGAGCTTCCCCCAATTTTGTTTACTAGGCTATGCATCGATCAGTATAAAGTAAAAGCAGAGAAAGCTTATACCTTGACTCCTTGAGGTGGTGAAGCATGGTGAGAAGAAGCAGTTGGGAAGCAGAGCAGCCAGATTGGGACGTCGAGCAGTAAGGCGTCGAGCAGAGGAGCAGGAAGGGGACAGCGCAATGGATGTGGTCGCCGTCCTACTGAGGGTCTGCCACGACCCACGAGCCAACGAAGCTGATGTGTTGGCGCGTCGTCGACCGCGACCGGTGAAGGGCGTCGAGCCGAGCAGGAAGTGGCCGCCCAGTCAAGGAACGGGGAGAAGGTGAGGGCCAGGGGAGCACCATCCCGTGATCTCTTCTTCGCCTCTCCGTCCGGCCTCCGACCGTCCAGCGTCAGCCTTGCCGCCCCTGGATCTTGGGGAGTCGCCAGCCGCAAGCCGCCGACCGGAGAGGAGAGGGAGTGAGTGGATTTAGGGTTGTCCGGTTGGGTGCACGTCTTAAATTTATATGTGGTACAATTTGCCCGCTATGACCGCAACTAACACTACCCTAAATGTCCGCTATTGCGCTCTGACAGCCGCTATTGCGGCCGCATCGTGCCAACCACGCTATATCCTACCGCAGCGTTCGACTTGTAGCGGCTAGGCCACGCTACCGCAATAGCGGCCGCAATAGCGGTCATAGCGGCCGCTATTTAAAACCTTGCCTGCAATCTTCAACTGCTCACAGTTTCCTAATACTGTTATTAAAAAAAACTAATAGCAACTCCAACGCGCTGACCCAAACGGACGG